GTATCGAAAAAGAGAATATTATCAACAAAAAAAGCAGGCCGAATTACGTGCAAAAATTGTTATGCTTGAGAGTCATATACCTGACTTACCCGATTCTAAGCACGAAGTATAATCATGTGCTTGGCATATATGAATAATTTTTTCCAGGACCTCTTTAAGTAATGTTATATCCTCTTTGATAGCTTCTATATTTTTGGTTATCTTATTACGTAGAACTATATATTCCAAGACTTTTGATCGATCTCGTGTCTTACCTGTGTCCATTTTCTGATAGAATTACAATAATCGCAACCCATTCAATTTTTTGGGTATACCGATCTGGGATAATTAATTTTGATTTGAAAAAAGAATCTTCATAGTATATATCAGACGAAAATAGTCTATATAAAACATCTCAACTAACATATACTAACCATGGCAAAAATCGCTACATCATTTGTAAATCGCTACAAATTGACTCCACAAATTAGTTTACCCCAGCTTAGTAGTTATGCCAAAGAGTTGGCTAGTAAACTTTCAGATGGCAAGACAAAAGAACAGGCTCGAAAAGCTAAGGATCAGGCCAGGAGGCGCTTCCAACAGCTGGGACTTAGCAAAGAACAAGCAGATGCCCTTATTCCTATCCAAGCACCTGGGAGACATGTCGTGGAAAGAGATCCCATTAAGGTTATTGCGCAAGATATTATAAAAAACAATCTCTCACCTGAAGAGATAAATGGAATAGCATACGACTTGGCTTCTTCTGCTCCTACTACTGTTGCTGGAAATTTTCGTCTTAATTTATTACGGAAAGAATTGCGTAGCTTAGGAGCTGATTATTTCATCACCGAGGCAACGAAAATACTCTTTATTACTGAAGAAGCAAATCAGATTCAAGCAAGAAAATGTATACTTCGTGGAATTAATGGTTACAATTGTCTCGAATTCTTTTACCTGGAAAAAGTTCAGAAAAGACTTAACGAATGCGATATTACCAAGTCTCCTTCAATGCAAAATCTAATAGATATAATGGTAATGTTATGTATGTGGTCAGCAGATGTGGAAACTCTTCATATCAATCGATACAGACCAAGTAATGCGTCATGGTATAATCCTGACTATTCTTTATATTGCACTGGTTATGCGAAAAATAAAGGTGAAGTAGAAGAATCCTGACCATTCCTTTCAATGGAAAAAAATCTAATACGAGCAAGAGAATTACTTATCTGGATTCAGAGATCAATACCTGACAAATTTCCCTTCTTGTTAAAAGATAAGGATGAAAATACTAATGTTGCATCACTTAATCAATTCTTAAGTTGCCATAAAATTACTTCATTTATATTAAGAAAAATAGGAGCTGATCATGCTTCCAGAATACATGGAGGTAGGAATGATTCCCGCCGTCAATATTTACGACAATTAGCATGTAGGCATAAAATAGGTCATGCTTCATCAGTTGAACATTATGGTGTAATGAATGACAGACCAAATATGTGTCTTGACACTAACTCCGCTATTCCAGCACCTAAACAAGAAAATAGTGAGGTCGAGGATAATATTAATTTATACGGAGAAATTTCTGATGATGATAATTAATCACGCTTCTTCACTTGTACCATATCCACAGTAAAATCTTTATAATCATTAGATGATTCAGAGTCAGATCCAGATGAGGGTGAAAATTCGGATGAGGACTCGGATGCGGTATCGTTAAAAATTAGTTTTTTTCTTTTAGCAATACATGGGATGTGCTTGTGTCGAGAAATATTTGGGTTTGCTATCGCATTTATAATATCCTGCTGAATCTCAGGTTTCACTATCTCCAGTAATCGGTGAAGAGAGATCCAGATTTTTTACCCGATACCTGTTTAGTAATATGGGATAAGGTTTTATCAGCTTCGGTTATTGTATATGTTAAATTATTTTACTAATACAGATTTAAAAGTGCGCCTAAATTAATTATCCAAACATTAGCTGTTTTTTCGATTAAAGATATATAATATATAATTTAAGAATGGTGCAACTATTGCGGAGCAATGACCCAAAGGGTCTAAATATTTTTGATTTACCCGAATTACTAGAACAGATCTTATATTTTTTAGAAATCGATCGATCCCTCTATCCCGCTTTGTTTGTCAACCACCTTTGGTATCACTGCGGTGCTCCTATTCTATGACGTCGCATTGAGTTTTCTATAGAAGGTTATCAACAGGATCAGTGTGAAAAAAATATATCTGGATCTCTTTATTGGTGATTGATGAAGTTTAAAAGAGTTATGTGTGAAAAGACAAACCCTCTTTATTGTTCAAAAATGGTATATCTCAGATTGGAAGGTTTAAAAATCAAAGATGCGTTAATTAGTACGATTCTACGCTCATGTCCAGATATACGCACTCTTATTCTTGACCGAAGTAATGGTTTCACTAACATATCAATTATAGAAATTGCAAGATATTGTCCAAAACTACAGCATCTGAGTCTTAATTCATGTATATGTCTCACTAATCGATGTACCACTGAAATTATTCGCTCATGTCCAAAACTTAGACATCTTGAGCTTGGCTATTGTTCGATTGATAATAAAGCTGTCAAGGAAATATCCCGCAACTGTACTAATTTGAAATATCTTAATTTGAAGGGGTGTAAAGGGATTAGTGAAGAAGTGATGAAAAAACTTAATTCTAAAATTAAAATCGAATACCCTAATTATTCAGATAAAAAATGGTCCAATTCTGATCCACCTATTCCAATGTTCACCAGTACATTATTAGATGAAACAGATCTTATTTCTGCGCTCAGTAATTGTATCAGAGAGATTGGTGGAATTAATCTTAATCATTCATGGTTTACAAATAATTTTATGCAGTAGCAGAGAATAGGTAATTATTTACTGAGATTTTTTTCCTGATAATATACATCATTAAATAATATTTGACATGTTTTTCATAGAAACACTGGTAGAAGGAAAAATCCCAGTTAAAGCATTAATCGATACAACATCTAAATCAAATACCATTAGCAAGAGCTTGTTTGATAAGCTTGAAGAAGATTATGAAATACGTGATTTTGATGAGAATCTCTATGGGGATGTAGTAGCTGTCCTTGTTGAGAATCTCTATAGAGATGTAATAGGTGAAATAAAATGCTTAGATTTGCAATTTCACTATAAAGGAAAGTGGCGAAGTTTAGATAGTACTGAAGTAATAGACTTTCAAATTCGCAAAAATCCATCATTTGATTTGGTATTAGGGAGAGATTGGTTATGGATGCATAAAGCAAAAATAGGTTTCAGATTCTCTTCTGAAATCAATGATTTTTACGCTAAAATTGTAATCGATGATATGAGTATCCCATTAATCGAAGAAAATAACAGGTCCACAAGCAACTCTTTGAGTCATAAAACCAGCTCCACTAAAAATAACTTATCTAAATTAACAGAATCTAAACCTGGTCTAGCTCAAAAGGAGGTTATAAACATAATCAACAAAATTCTCTCAGGTGCCCAAGATATTAAACACCAAAAGAGCCATCGCGAAATATTTCACAATACACCTCCTGCATCTCCAACGTCCAGAAGATTAAATGACGATGTTTCCAAAAATAAGAGCAAGAAAAATAGGGTCAATTATTCCACGGATTCGGATATTTCTTCCAATTCAGATATTTCAGACTCAAGTGATTCTTCTTTATCTAGATTGCGATCAGAGATTATAAATATGCATAATACTGCATCTGCAAAAAAACGTCCTATTAAGCGAAGACGTTGTAAAGTAAAAAGAAAAAATTAGCCAGAATTACTATGTCACGTTATAATGAACCTCAGGGAATGATGTCATGTGTTTTATTTCAAAGAAATGGATCAATCCGCGAATCAGAGATCAGTATAGAAGTTTATCGAACATGCCAATAGAAAGCCCCTGATGGGTCGTGATCTCATATTTATTGCAAAGCAATGGGCTTCGCTCTACACAAAAATCTTTATTTAACCAGTGATTATCTGATATATTTATTGCTGTGCAATGACTCTTCGAGTCTACATTTTAAAACCTCTGAATCTATATAATTATTTTCGCTATATAAGTATCGAATTATACCCCATCAGGTAGTGGATCCTCTGCTTTCAACCCACGTCGGGCATGCGACAAATCTAATGGAAATATTGGTTGTTAATAGTTCTGTACAAATTACATAAAGATGTTTGATTAACAAAACTAATTACTTACCAATATTCCCTCGCCTCTTATCACAAGATCTTTCTGGTATCTCGGTTTGACTTTTTTTCGGTTGGGAGAGTGTGATTCGGTTATTCAGATCTCGTGCGTCGTTAAGATCTTGCCGAGGAATCATAGAAACAGGCGTCCCACGTGTATCTCTTTCAATGCCAGCCTCTAGATCTTCGTATATCGACGAAAAATCGCGCAGATGGTGGAAGAACATACTGTGAACAAAATAAACGATACTGTGCCGGATCCCTCGAGTTACGGGAAAATTTCCATGCAATAAAAAACGCGATGAAAACGCAACGATTTGTCCCGGACGAAGTGGAACGATAATCTGGAGTTGCGGGAAGCACAGTTCACCTCCCTCGAAATCACCTAAAGCAACCAAGCAACATAAGGAATTTGGTTCGTCGTGCTCATCCCAGTGATAGTCACTGATCGTATTGAAATTAATTGCGATCATAGGGAAGACGCCGAATGATTTAGGAGCGAAAGGCCAAGATAAATTTCTTAACTTCATATACATCTCCCCATAATTATCATAAAGGAACCGGTTGACAGTATCTGATAATGGTTTGAGGTTTAGAAGTAGATTATTTACACATTCCTGGTGATCGATGTTGTGGTGTGACTATATAAAAGCTATGCGACTCACTTTATCATGTCCAATAAATAACGCGTGACGATTATCGGAAAAAATTGAATATATAGGATCCAATAACATTGTGAAGCAGAAAAAATTAAATTCGCTAAATATCATTTGATCAAACCTTCTGACTACATCTCCTTATTTATTCTTTATTTCGTATCACAAGAACATGGAATAGAAATTGTAATTGGTGGAGTATCTGTGCCCATTATTTCTCGCAAAAAATCTGTCTGATCTTGGGTTCTCATGTTCACTGTCTCCATGCAATCCATGATCATTTTCTATTTGTAAATAGAAGTTAATGAGTAAATAGTGCATTTCTCTGATGAAACTGACGAATACGGGAAATAAATAATACCTTCATTCTCCACACATTAGCCAACACCCTGATAAGATCTTTTATTTTTTCGGCCATAGCTGGCACATCAAGGATCTTCTCTCGTTGTAATATTGTTACATATCCCTTAGGACTACTCATTTGTAAAATTTGCAATTTGAGGCCTACAACTCAAATTAAATCAGTTTACTTCGACAAAAAGTATTAAAAACTGCAGATTCATTATTTTATTTACCCATGTGAAGCATGCCAGCGACTCGCAGTTGCCTTACTTTCTTTTCTTCGAAACGGACTTGTTCACTTAAGCATACAAAGATATCATGCATAGCCTTCATCAGTTTAAACCCATCAGTCAGCAGTTTGGTTGCATCAAACTTCTTGGCCACTTCAGTCGCTCCATACTCAACATCACCAATGTACATCCGGAATATTCCATCCATCCGATATCCCATCTTTTTACGTTCTGGCTTTCTGCGACGCGTACGTGCCCTCTTTCGGTTTTTCCGCGTGGCTACCGCTACACTTGTCGATTCTTTTCTGTGAAAAAAATAAGTCATAAAGTCCAAAACTGTAACGAAGTAATTATGACAATCACAGAAGACGTACCTGACAGTTTCCATTCCAATCACATCGCAGAGACCGTGATCGATGATAAGCGACCACACATTTATGTCATACCAGGACTCGAGATGTTGCTTTTGCAGTGTTTCGTTAGGGTCTTCATAATACGTAAGACTTTCAGTAATAAATGGAGTGTATGTTAGTAAGTCTTTGTAACAATATCGCTGATAAAAGGCAAATACTCACAACTTCCTCATCACGATTTCGGCCCATTCAGCATCGTAATGTTTTACTCGATCATAAGGTTCATCCTCATTTAAAAAGGATGTTGTTTTTAAGACTCGTCTCAGATCGCTTGCTGTTTTAACCTGAAATTGGTAATAGCATCAAGTTCTGGACAAATTGAAAAAAGCTAGTTATCCTCAACTTACATCCGAAAATCGCATCATAGAATCTGCAAAAGTACGATCAACCTCTGGCAAAATTTTGACGGCACACTGGATTTCATTCCATTCTTCAGTTGTAAATAACGAATCTGCTTCTCGATCATCAAGGTCAATAATCCATGAATGTAGGAGTGATTCAACTGGCTGTTGTCTACAATATTCGAAAAGGGTGTCTTCGACGCACTTTCCAGAAGCGAGAACCCACTTATGAACTACATTCATTTTTTTGTAGGATTCCTGGAAATCCTCGAGTTGTGATGACAACAACAATTGGGGGAGAGGGATCTCATCTTCAAAATCGCTGGTATTACGAAAAGATGTATGTTGCGAGCCTAAGAAAAGAAGTCGAAGAAATTTCAAAAATCAATTATGATACCTTAATATGTAATCCGAATTATCATCATCATCAGATATAAAAACGGCTTCAGGCTCGGTCTAAAAGAATCTCACCAGTTAGCAATTGTTCAGTCTTGATTGCTATAAATTAATCAGAACAATTTGTTTCGATGTGAAAACCATACCTCATCCTCTTCTTTATCTGTTTCGTTGGAAATTGTTTATGTTTTCCGATTTTCGTCGTTTCTTAATCGGATTTGTTATTTTTTGTTTAGAAGGTCCTTGAAAGAAATTATCGATCTCGGAATTAAAGGTTCCTTCATTGAACCCAACAGGTCCAACTACAGTGCCCGAAATTGTAAACGAGGGTCCACTGGCTGAACCGTGCTCCTTAGTTTCCTTCCATTTTCGCGCTACTTTATAATCGGGCCGTTTATCCTAGGACAAAAGAAAAATTAGTAATATTCTCAACTAGTACTTTTACAATCCTTTGTCTGGTATATGTCCCACTGGTTGCCCCGAAGGCTTGAACATCAGATGAACCCAAAGTTACCCAATGTCCCAGAAGGGCTGGTGTTGGGTCACCCCGAAGGCTTGAACACCAGATGAACCCGAAGTTACCTGGTGCCCCAACACTAGCTTTGTGGCTGAACCCGAAGTCTTGAATTATAAGGATTCTCTAAGAACCTTATAACGCCACTTATACTTTCAAAGAAAAAGACTCATACTTGCCTTCCTATAGTCATTTAGCAACAGACGTGCCTTATCACTTCTTTTGCCTTTCTTCATGTCAGCAATAATCTCAAGAGATGTAGTATATGATTCTATTTTACGGTGGTATGGTTCTAGGTCGCACTCTTCCAAGAAATCAGTAATATTCCACTTTGATGATACCCTTTCAAAATATTCGTGTATAGACATGATTCAAAAAATAAAATTTTGCAACACAAAAAAAACTTTTCACAAATGCAGATTTAGAATTTATAGTAACAATCAGCAGGTCACACGATTACATCATGCATGTACAGTAGATGTTCCATAACCTTCGATTTTATTCTGTGATATAGCATGTGATATATGATCGATATGTTGATCGAATATCTGTATTACGAAATCAATTTTTTCAGGCATATCGGCATTTTCATAATAACAAAAAATATAACCAAACATTCGGGTACTTTTTCAAACAAAATTCTGCATAGCAGGACGAAGTCTAACCCCCCTCTTCATTTATAGGTTCCATATGAGGTTGGCTGAACATCAGGCATACTAAGATCACTGTCATCCCGTGGTGCAGATATATTAAGGTTTGAGGTCGCATTATCTATTGCAGAGCAATGGCTCGAAGCGCCTAAATTTCCACCTGCATTATTTGTATTATTACCTAAATTTCCACTCACATCATTTACATTGTTTTCATTATCTCGATTATTACCGGTGGTGACTGTTTCACTGATATTATCATTCCTTCCACTAGTAGCTTTTCGGGTGGGTGATGCGGATCGATTCCTTTGATTAGTGGTGGATTCACGGCGACTCGTACTTAGAATTGATGACACTTCGTAAGTTGGTGGTGGGGTACGGTTACGGCGACGTTTTCTAGTGGATGTATTTGTATTATGCAATATGTCGAATGGAGTTTCTAAATTTCATATACGAGGCAAATTTATGAGTTATCTATATATTTACTACTACGGTGATACATTGTATCATAGGTGAACTTACCAGGTCTCTCCCAAAAATGAGAATTAAATTCTTCAAAATATCGTTCACCTGCTCTGCTCCTCTTTCCGGTTTTACTCCCAGCTATGTACTGGCACATCGACTAAAAAAGTTTCAGCGAAGTAGGCACAATAAAAGTACATTAGAAATATTACGTGTCCGCCTTCTCGTGATTTCTCACTCGAAGCCAGATATATAGTCAGAGAGACATAGAAATATATATACATATTTTTTTCCGAGAGATAAGGTGGAAAAAAAGGCTCCGCTATCATGTGGAATGTCATAGTTAAAATATTATATAGAATTTAACGCTTACGTTGTAATCTCTAACAATATTCTGAAATCTATTATTACATTGTTGCCCTGTATAGGTGGTCCCAAATCGTTTGTTGATTGTATTTGCAATACTATTCCAAAAGTTTACCGGGAATGTTATAATACTCCGCATTTCGATTTCTTCTTTCGTCAATTAGTAAGCACAGTTGATCATCGATCCACATCACAAAAATTTAGACGATCCTAATTTTAACGGATGTTCAACTGAGATATGATATTTCCATAAGAAAAAAAAACATCGTACCTTCATCGTACCTTCAACGTACCTTCATCGTGCCTTCATCGTGCCTATATTACATCTTAATTATGAGTTAGCAGATATACATAGTCTGATCGTGACAAATTTGTCACGGTTTCCGCTAGTTTCATTAATATGACAACAAAAGTGTAGATCTAGATATAAGGATATCTGCACACATCTCGGATTTGTTTATCTCGGACCGGATGATCTCAAATGGTGGGTGTCGTACATCCATATCGCTGGAAAATTAAATCATATGCTTGTAATACACCCAAAATAGATCCCACTTACCCAATATAGATTTTATGTACTCGATATATTCAATTAACAAACGAGTAAAATTATATGAGTGACATAGTGCCCCAAAGGGCAACCCCGTGTGACCGCGGAAAAAGATTTATTGTCTGCGAAGGATACTCTGTATCTATATATGCATTGTCGAAGTTAATTTATGCTTTTATACTTACTATGTGGATTGAATTCTGATATTTATTCCCCCAACATTTAAGGTGATAGGTTTTTGTATTAACATAATTCCCACTACCCCATTCACCCTCTACATTATATCTTATATTTTCTTTTTTATGATCATTGTTGCATAAAGGGCAGGGTACTAAACAATCAAAGTAATCATTATTCCCAGCACTATATTTTAAAGATAAAACGGGAAACTGTTCCAGTACTAATTTAATAACATGTTTTTGTTTCTCTTTCGGATCTTCAGGTAAGATCGAAATTGGAGGTCAAGATTTGGTTGGCATGGGTGAATTGGAAACGTGAGATTCAGTAGATATACTTACCTCGGTTTCCGGTAAAGATTCGACTTTCTCACTTATCTTATCTTGCGAATTTTGGCAGGGGACCCCAGCTGAAATTTCAGGAGTCGAAGACTTATCTTTTTGCATCATGTGATGCGATTCCTGCTCGGTGAAACTATCTATTATTTCTTGAATTTTATCATTAGTTAACTCCGAAATAGAATTCGCACTATAAGTCGTAATATACTTAATTTTGTCTATACCTAAGTTTTCAAATAATTTGTATATTTTTACAGTTTTCTGAGTTTTTCCTTGCAAGTATTTACGTGAAATTTCTGGGAGTTGTAAACCTGTGTTTTCAGATCTCTTTTTACGGAGAATGAAAAGATATTCCAATATTTTATCATAGACTACCCCCTTTGCCTTTTTTTCGTCAATTTTACCATTACTATCTTGTATAACCACTCTAACTTGAATTAAGAACCCTTCTCCATAATAATACCAACGTAAAATCTCTTCCTGATTAGCACGAATTGCGCCATATTCAGCATCAGTTGCTTTATCGAATAATTGAGCTAAAGAAAGCAATGGAACTGTAGATAAATCTTGGCAAGGAGACCCAGCTGGAATCCCATCGCAAAGAATAGCTTTGACTCCTGATTGAACACCATTCTGAATGCCGTCAGCTATCAATTGTACGATTTTTTCTGCACCTTTCTTCCTATGAGTATTTTGGTGGGGGGGGCCCGGCTGAAATTTCAGGTACCACCTCTTCTGATGAAGAAATGTCTGAAGATAAGTTTTGATCCCAAAGTTTCTTTTCCCTAATTCTCTCCATTATCTCTTCACTAACATGTTCTTTATATTTTGTTTCTACAAAATTAAGGATCTCGGCTGTATCATTATTGATAATATCTTCTGGTAATTTAGATTGTGCTAGGATATGTTCAGACGAGAGATCGGGTGTATTACCAGAATTTGAAGTGTCGTCGGATATATCTGATGCCAGAACATTATTCGATTCATTAGAATTTGAAGCATTATCAGATATATCAGATACTGGGGTATCATCATATCGTGAAACTATCTGTTCAGGAGTATCGTTAGAATTTACTGAAGATCGTGGAATATTAATAATATTTTTTTCTCCTTGCTCTAGTTTCGTGATTCTGGCTTCATGACTTTCTAAAGATTGTCTTAATTCTGCATTCTCACGCTTAACTTTAGCATTCTCATTTCTAAGTTCTGTATTCTCCACCTGAAGCTTGGAATTCAATTCCTCTAATAATTTAATTTTGAATTGCGTATTTGCCATTTTTATATAAGATACAAATATGTTTAATTATATTAATGAATAAAAAAATCATAACACGTTCTTTTTCGGAACGCCAATTACTTTTGCCAAGAAAAATTCTCGAATTATTGTTATCAACGGAGCTGGGATGGCCAATACACTAAAATAAATCCTGAAATCTTTATTTTATGTTATTTACTTTCCGATTTATCATATAACATCACGGTTGATATCTTGTTGATCGATGTGTGATGGGTATAGTACATCTATAGCCGGAAAATTAAATCATATGCTTGTAGAGGTGAAACCTCATTGCTCTGTAATAATACACCCTAAATAGATTCCACATCCGAAATAGATTTCATACCAAAATAGATCCCACATGCTCAAAATAGATTTCATTCATGGAGGTTGTTTCATATGCTCCATCAATTATCATGAGCAATTGTTTATAACCGGATAATATCTACATAGTTGATTTTAAGTATCTTGACACTAGCTCTGCTATATAAATACCAATGCTTGAACTTGAGAGACTTTACCGTTTCACACTTTTAATACATGAAATACACTTTCTTCTACTACATCACAAAAATACTACAAATATTTTGGACTTATCCTTCCCAACATATATATACAAAAATATACTATTCAAACATGAATAGCGATAATATAGTTCAAAAACTCATTTTGTCAATATAACTACGGAAACTTTTCATAGTTCTAAAGATATATATCCCATATGTAGAAAATAATCTTGAGTTAGATCTAAGAAATGGTCTAACAATCCAATCTCACTAAAATTGAATCATATTATTCTAGAGTATAAAGTTATTAAATCAAATAGGTCTAAATTCCTAAATACGATATAAATCACATAATCTCTAAAAACACTATATATAATACGTTAAATCACTTAATCGTTAAATATGGTCTATACAGATAAATGTCCAGTTTTGAGTGATACTGAATGGAGAGATAACTGTCGATTTCCAGTAATCCATAAAAGTGAAACTCCATTTGATTGGATGAAATGAATTTGGGATCAGTTGACGAATTATAAGAATAATAATCGTTTGACTGATGACAAAAAGCGATATCTTATCGCCAGGAAAAT